CAGTGCTGCAGAGTGCTGTTAAGCAGTTAACACACTGATCAACACCCAGAGCCTGAGGACAGGCAAAGTGGCATCCCCAGCAGAAGGGAAGTGCAGTCAAACGTGCTGTAGCTCAGAGGGACTCTCGTTTTAACTGTTTACAGTGGGACTTGTAGCAAAGAAAGACCCTGGCGCTCTGGAACTGCAGGTAGCAGCACATCAGTGTGAATCCCCACACCAGTCAAACATGCTGTAGCTCAGAGGGACGTTTTAACTGTTTACAGTGGGACTTGTAGCAAAGAAAGACCCTGGCGCTCTGGAACTGCAGGTAGCAGCACATCAGTGTGAATCCCCACACTCGGGTGCCGAACAGCCCCCAGAACTGACGCAGTGAAAAGCTTCCCCAGAGAAAGTCCACGTTGCTACACTCCAACCAGCTCTTGTAAGCTTGCTTAGCAAGCTGTTAAAAAAGAAAACAGGAAAAAAAGGAGAGGACGGCAAGAGCCACTCAAGTCAAGCTGTTGGCTGAGATTATCTAAAGTGGTAATTTGGGGTATGCGAGAGTGACATCTTTCCCCCCCTCATTAGCTGATACTTATTTTTTTTCCCCTGTGATAGCACAGCTCAGGGGGGAGCATCCAGACTCCTGTTAGAATATGCTAACCGGATCTCCCTCCATCTAGCTCCCTTTGGTTGAGCCTAAATTCAAAGGCAGAAAAGTCAGAGGTGGCAGGAGCTTGAAGACAAAGCTAAGCTGCAGCACTGATCCCATCCAGCCCAGAGGGACTGTTTTTAATGAAGCTCTTACCATAGTTGTCAGCTTTGGTCATTAGTAAGTTCCTCTCTCTCTCCAGTGACTTTCTGTAATGAGAAGAGGAGTTCATTACCTGTGAGGCACAACACAGCCTATTTCTCTGCTTATGTACTGGAAGAGAGGCTGTCCCACTGCCGGGGATAGCTGCTCACAGAACGAGCCCCTCACCCTTCGCTGTGGAGAGGTGACAGTTTAGGAACCTCCAGCTGTGCAAGAGAAGAGATGCTGCAGTTTTAGATTACATTTTCCTTCCCCCAAACTGCTTCACCTTTCTAGCAAGCAAGGTATAGAGGGGGCCGTGTGTCCAAGCCCCCAGGTGGGCTAGGAAGTTCTGCCACAGCTACGGGATGGGGCAGCGTGCCCACGTGCCCTCTGCAGGATCCTGCCCCTCCAGCACATCTGGTTCAGTGTGGAATGTTAATTCTTCTCACCAATCCAAGCTGGACCCTTTGTCAGAGGTATCCAATTTGGACAAATCGGTCAGCTCGAGGAAACAAGCTGAATCCAAGCCCAGTACCAACCAGTTATTAGGCTGAAGACTCGGGATAATAACATAAAGAGTAAGTCAGCCCAGTCCAGCCCTTGTCTTAAACCGCTCAGGATGATTAATTAATACACAGTTTAAGAGATACATGCAAAACAAATTGCCTGAAAGCAGCAGTGTTTCATTACAGCAGGGAGGACATGGTCACCCCTTTCAGACTGCATGCATATAAATAAACATGCACCAACAAATTACCTCCTGGTTCAGAGCAGACAGAGGAGGCAGTAACAGAGTTTGTTGTTCCCCCTGGGGCAGAGCAGGAACCCGTAAGGAGGAAAGAGATCCAAATCTATGCGTGCAGCTAGCTAAGTAAGGGATGGCAAGAAAGCCAGCCGTGTCAGAGCAGCAGGAGAGGGAAGGGCTCTTCAAGGCGACTGGGGAAAGGCAACGGGGAGTGCAGTCGGGAGGAGGTGAGAATACAGATTGACCAACAGAGCTGAGCTGCTACTTAGAAACCTGCCTTGTGGAGTCAAGGGAAGAGGCTTTGAGAATGAGACATGACGAAACCATGACAACTGAAGTTCAAAATGGGAAAGCAGAGCTCCCCTTTGTGTACTGCCCATCGAATCAATAATTTTGATTGTGGTACCTTCCTCCAGGGTTTTTCAAATGGTGTGGATTAGGATAACAGAATTTCTGTTTCCGTCTCCATACAAGTTTATAAAATTCAGAAAAGGCCCCTGGAATCCCTAACCATAATTCTTTGCTCTAGGCCCTACATTTCAGAGAGAAATCATGCGGATACATTCCATCCTGCCAAGTTACCACAACTGTATGTTTGGTTGTTGGCCACCTAGGTAGCAAATAATGAATACAGATAGTAAACATGAGAAGAGCAACTTAGGCCTAGAGGAAGGACTGGTGAGATGAGGGACAGGAGAAGACAGGACCTTGTCCAAATATGGATGGGGATATAAAACGCATGCAAAGTAGAGGAGGAGGAAAAAGAGAGAGAGGCTGGCTCAAGGAATGGCAGACAGCAAAATAATAGTGTGGAAAGGAAGAACAAAGAAGATGACCTGAGGCTGGTAAATACCAGAGTGTGAAGATGTCACCACTGCTAGGATCACTTCAAACTGGGTTCTGTAAGACAGCACTGCACAACAGACACCAGGACCACTCCCTGGGCCTACAATTGAGCTTCCCAGTCTTCTTGCGAGATGCAGAGCAATAAGGTGCTGGTGACTGGAAGGATGTCCCAAAGCAGACAGATTTGAGAACCAATTGGGAGATCTAGGACCTCTTGCTTCACACCAGAGAAATAGTAGGTTCTGCCTGTATCTGCTACAAAATCCAGGTCAAAGTCCTTGCTCGAGTCTCAGCTCTGGAAGCTTACAGTTGCTTCTTCTATGTCAGTGACAGATTTCAGGGGAATTGTCCCCTTTCCCAAGGAAAGTCAGTGTGTCACTGCATCCCTACATTCAGACACATTTGCAACACAAGCACAAATGGAGTAATTTCCCTCAGACCCTTTCCCAGCTGCATCCCTGGTTTGCCCCTCAGTAGTAGCTGCTGCACATCTCCCCTGACTGAACTCAGGAAGCTTCATCAAGGCTTGAGTAACAGCGTGCAGTGAACCTCTGCCAGACTCACAGAGCTGTTTCCCAGCCCTGAAAATGAACTGGAGAGTTTCGGGCACCTGCTTGGCTGGTTGTGGTGCAGGTTGGAGAGTCAGGCTGTTGATAAGATAAAGCTCTCACCATGTATCTCTGAACATCTCACCCTGGCAAGCTCCCCAGGTAAGCTCCAGGCTGGGGGAAGAGACTCTTGTCATGGGGAACCCCATTCCCATCCCCTCAAGAGCCCGTGCTCAGTACTACAGCAGGATGGCAGGTAGCTGAAGCGCACGGCCACAGCGGAGAAGGGAGGTGGGTCATCAATACCTTCCTTCGGGGCTGAGCTTCTCCTTGCGCAGTTTAAGGTCCATCTCCTCCACGCTCTGCCTGCAGCGTGCCAGCTTCTCCTCCAGTCCATCGATCTGGAAAACACCACACCAGTCACCATCATTCCCTCTCCCAGCTAACACGGATCCATCCCCACTCAGATGGGAAGGGTGGCAGCTCACACTCCACCTCCTTCCTCCCCAGATCAAAGGAGGAACAGCTGCATTTCTGCGTAGACATCACGGCACAGGGAGCCCACCCCCTCTTAGATCAGCCTATACTGACCCCAGGCAACTGCCACATTGCAATCCCAGACCCAGCCAAGCCAGCTCTAACGCTCCCACTCCTGTGGGTGGCCAGCACCTCCTGCTAAGATCTGATCCCCTTCCAGACCGGTCTGGTTTCTCTGCACGCGGTTCCACAAGCAAAGATGCCATCTAAGGCATCTTTATGCTATTAAAAGAGGATAAAATGAGAGACACTGGCCTTGGCCAAAGCCTGAGGGACAAGGTCTTGATTTAGTGCTGCCAACGGATGCAGAAGTTCATGGGACGGGCTGTCTGCTTGGGTGAAGAGGGGAGAAATGGGAAACACTGATACGTACCATCTCTTTTACCCAACTAAATCTGCAACAGCAACAGTGGGCTGCACAGAATGCTCAAGAGAGTGTTCCTCACTGCCTCCACACCTTCAACCTGCACCAAGTTTTGGCAGCAACATGTTCCCATGAGAAAAAAACACTGGTCATCTCCTTGTGTCTCCTCATCAGCCCCCACTGCATCTTTCTGTGGAGGGGAGTAACTGTGGATAAGCACAATGAGGGTTGATCTACTTGCCCAAGAGGTGTGTCTCCTCATCAGCCACCCCCACCCCCCACTGCATCTTTCTGTGGAGGGGAGTAACTGTGGATAAGCACAATGAGGGTTGATCTACTTGCCCAAGAGGAAATCCTACCATGGACAACAATTCTCCTGGGAATCATTCCTCTTTTCTGCCTGGTAACCGGAGCATAGACATCTTTAGGAAAACTCTGTCCTTCAGGTTTGCTTCCAGCAGGGAAACAGTGGGGCTAATCAGATAATATGAACACAGCATCCTAGCCTGAAACAAAATGCCCTCAGTGCCCTGAGGTAGCAATGACATCTCTTTTTAGCTACTTAGTGCAACACTCCTGTTGTGTCTGGTTCTCCAAGCAAGGCCAAGGCCGATCAGAGGGCTGCAAGCATGGTCTCTCTGTGGTGGGAGCCTTCACAAACTAGAAGCACAGCACAGTCCCAGGTGGAGGACTGCGGAGGTGGAACGAAACACCAGCTGCCTGGACATCAGCCTGAGAGGTGGCCCAGGGCACAAATCCTCCCATAAACAGTGATATGGGAAACAAAACCAAAGGTAGTGATCCCTAATTATTGCTGGTTTGGGGATCAGCTCTGTCCTGAGCTCATTAGCAGTCTCACACCTTCTGCTCAGGAAAGGCAGGCAAGCGTTTTCAATAAGCAGGGTGGGACAAGAGGCTTGACCTAGAGGGGAGAACAGAGCAGACTGCAAAAAGAGTTTAGCCAGTCAGGTGAAGAGTCTCACTGCAAGGAGCACAGCAGAGCCGGGGAGGGGGCCACATACGGCAAGGCTTAAATCCTTGGATCCTTCCGGATAGGAATCTCAAAGTCCACTGTTATTTAGGCAACTCTTACAGGGCTATTGAGAAGCCAAGCTTCCCAGAGGCATCTGTACAGCTTGCCTGGAGCCCAGGGGGAACACCAACGTACATCACCTGATCCCAGGGCACAGGGAACGGCGCTTCTGTGTTGGGCAAAGCTTGGATTTGCCTGGATGGGAACACACATAGTTATGAAGGATGTTAGCTGAAAATGCATTTGGTCAGGGCAGTGATAATCATCTTCTATACCCAGCAGCACTGGGTGAGAATGTTTACTCCAGCTGCTCATCCCTACCTGCCGTCCAGTACAGCTCAGTCAGCGGGATGCATTGCCCCAGCCAGCTGCAGGGCCAAGCCAGGGCTTCGCCCAAGCCAGCTCAACCATGCTTATCAGCAAGTTAATTGAATGGGAGGTGGCGTGTCCGCCCAGCAATCCAAGGTAGACAGCCATCTCTCTCACCAGTTCCTACCATTTGTAAGTGGCTGTCTCTGCTCCCTCATCGGCTGGAACCCCTCACCCAGCAAGAGGTACTTCAGCGTGTGTCACCTGGCTCCTCCTCAGCCAGGAAACTTA